CATTTAGAGAGTTCAATAAAAAAGATTATTTTGTAAAATTGTATGCGTATATTTATGGTGTGTAATGAAGCATTATGTAGATTATTTTGAAGATGATTTATTAGAGAGAGTTCAGGATTTNNTTATATTTCATAAGAAGTTATGGAATACGATTATTATAGTTATATAATATAATTTTTTTGGAAATATTTATATTATAGTTATATAATATATTTTTTTTGGAAATATTTTTTTTAGGAAAAAATGTATTTAACGAATTATCATATTATTATAGTATAGAAAGCATATGAAAAATTTTAATGAGTTGCCGTTAGAAGTGAGGTTAAATATTATGTCCTTTAATAGTCAAGATATTAACAACGACAAATATAATAAAATATTAAATCATCCATTTCCATCATTTGAAACAGTTATGGATAATATGTTTATTAAACCGTCTATGTATTTTGATAATACATATGATAAATCAGATTATGAAATATATATGATATGTAAAACCATTTACATCTATTCATATATTAATATGGTAATACTGAATTTTAAACAGAATATTTATAATGAATATAAAACAAACGGATTTAACGATGAAGACATAGAATGTATTAACTTCGGTTATTATCGCGTTTTTAAGAAGTTTTTAGAGTTGATAGAGTTAAAAAATTGTTGGTCTGCATCATTCATCAGGTCAATGATTGGAACTATAGAAGATAATTTTATTAACTACTGATACAACTACTAATATTGATACAAGGGATTATTTTGTATTTGGTGATTACTTAGGGGAGCCTTAGATACAATAATTATAATATAATTATATTTCATATGAGGTTATGGAATATGATTATATTATAATTAAATTCTACGAGGATGGCCTTGCCTATTTTCGGAGGTTAAGGGATTGGGGTCTTAAGGTGGTTTTTTGGAAGGGTGTAGGGGTTGAGGCGTTGAGGGGGCGAGGGTTTGAGAGGGGGTCTTTCGGTGAGTTTTTGGAAGGGTGTAGGGGTTGAGGCGGTGGAAGGTTGGAAGGTTGAGGTTGTTTTCTGAAGGTGGGTGTGGGTTGGAGGGTTTTTGAGGTGAAAATTGGAGGGTTGGTTTTGGTAGGGTGTGATGAAAAGGGGTTAGAAGTGTAGGGGGGGGGTATGGGGTGGTGCTTACTGCCCAAACTGGGCAAGGCCATCCCTAACTTCTTCTACTGCGATTCTACGTTTCCCATCATGGGCTTTTGCTGAATCCTGAACCCTAAAGCCTAAACCCCAAATCTTAAACCCTAAACCCTAAAGCTTAGAGCTTAAAGCCCCAGACCCGAAAACCTAAACCCGAAAAACTTAAACCATAAACCCTAAAAGCGAAACTCATCAAGGTTTGGGGGCTGCAGATTTCCGCTTGAAGAACCCATAATTCGGGTAGTTCTCCAAATTAGGGAAGGGTTCCTAAACGGGTTCCCATAGGGGCTTCTACAAGGGCTACTGTAAGGGCTACTAGTGGGGAAGCCCTAAACCCAAAAACCTAAAACCTAAACCCCCAACCGCTTTCAAAGGTGTTTTTGGGTTTCCGAAAAGGCGGTTTGCTTGAAGGGTTACTTCAAGGTGTACTACCAAGGCTTCCTTCAGGGCTCTGTACGGGCAGTTCTCTAAATTAGGGTCCTTTTGTTTGGTAGGTTTTGTTTTTGATAAGTGCTATAAAAGCCTGATAGAACTACAAGACCCTATGAATCCCTGCAGAACTACCCTAAACCAGAAGCCCTGACGAACAAACCCTAAACCCTACACGCTAAAGAACCCTAAACCAGGACCAAAACCCTAAACCCCAAAGAACCCTAAACCAGAACCCTAAGCCCTAAACCCCACCAGAACCCTAAGCCCTAAACCCCAAAGAACCCTAAGCCCTAAACCCTAAAGAACCCTAAACCAGAACCCTACACCCTAAACAAAAGGTCCCTAAACCCAGAGCCCTAAACCGCAAAGAACCCCTGAAGACGTGACCTCCCGCGAGGCCGCTGCGTACGGAAGGAAGGAGCTCCTGTCGTGGCCTTCCCCAAATTCCTTTAAAGGGTCCCTTTGAGAGTTCAGGGTTTAGGGTTCCTTTATGGGTCCCTTTGAGGGTTCAGGGTTTTGGACTGGGTTTAGAGTTCCTTTCAGGGTTCCTTTAAGGGTTTAGGGTTTAGGGTTCCCTTAAAGGGTCCCTTTAAGATCTATTATAAGGTTACCATAAGGGTTCTAGTCTAGGGGCAGTCATAATTGGAATACAGTTTTGGGGTATGTTAAGCAAAAAGTATAGTAAGGAACCCGCAAATGATTTGGATAGGGTTCCAATGAGTTCAGCAGAAGGCTGTATACTGGTTTTCAAGAAGGGTTTGAGTGTTTACGGGCCTCAAAAACAGATAGGGGTTGGGGGTATGGGTTACTATAGTTATGATAAGGAGTTCGCACGAACAGAGTTGCCAATCACTCAGGCTTTGAAGTTAGCATGCTTCATCTCGCCGGCACGATTACTCCAGCAGACGTTTTCAGACCGAGTCGTGGACCAACTACTTTGCAAAGGCCCCTCCCCTGTCCCGAGCCTCTGCTACCATACGGGATGAAAGGACCTCAGCTGAAGTAGCCTAAGCCCTAAACCCTAACCTCTAAACCCTAAACCCTAAACGGCAGGTACTTCATCAGTGCCAAGCTGGACGTGAACAAGCAGAACACGCAGGGCCTGGCATCCGAGAGAGCTTTGGGCTTCTCCCAGCGAACCCGAAGACCTTCGTCTGGTGCCCCTTCGCCGTCCCCATTGGTAGAAACTCGAAGTCCTAGCACACATATTTTATAAGTCCTTTAATTTGGGTTACAACTGTAGTTATCCTACTTATAACCCTGCTTTATAACTACCCATGAACTCCAAGTAGGCATCGGCATTGCCTCCTTTCAAGGGACCAGTTGTGGGCACTCCCTTCTTGAGAAGCCGAAGCCTCCGCAAGCCCCGAAGATCGGGTTCTCGTCAAGGAGTTTAAGTTTAGGGTTTAGGGTTAAGTTACCATAACGAGGAACGTCACCATAGGCCCCTAATTTATGGCAACTTAAGTTAAGTTCCTTTGCAAGGACCCACACGGCAAGAAGCTAGGGGGAAGAACTGAGCAGTGAGGCCAGACGCCCCTGGCTCTGGCGCAGAAGAACAAGATGAAGGAGGGTCCAGGGTAGTAGGTTTAAGGTAACTTAGTGAGGACCTCGTCAAGACTGTTCCTGCTGCGGCTGCGTCCTCATGTCACAGCATCCTCACTGTACTGTCTTCAACTCCTGTCTGGCGCCGTGCTCAAGTGTGCTTGTGAAACCTTCTCCTCGTTTTGACTGCTGCTCTCCCTAGCCTCGTCCTCGTCATGGGTATCCCTGCTTCTTTCCCTTCCTCATCTTCATGCCGATCCTGAAGAACATACACACTTCCTCGTAGTCAACATTATTACCGTCATCGCCGTCGTTTGTCACTCCGAAATCGTACTCGCTCGAAACTCAGGGTTCCTACTCTGGGAGTCCCTTCTCCTGGGCTGACCGGCCTTCTATCGCCGACGGTTAGAACCGTACTTGTGAGCATTCACATGTGCATCTATATATTCCTACAATATTCCTACACACATACATACATATCTGTATATATACACACACTGTATAGATATATACATACACGTACACATACATACACACCTGCATGCGAACACAAACACATTTACACATACACATGCACGCACCTTCGTGTACACATGATATGTTACGCTACGCTATGCTACCATATCATCTGATCTGACCTGACCTGACCTGTTGTGACATGATACGGTAAAACCGTCAAGCCCTAAACACTTAAACCCTTAACTCGAACCCCAAGAAGCTAGGCTCTGGGTGCTCAAGCCCGACCAGGACATCGTCGACCTCCTCTCGAAGAGCGGAGCCAAGTGAGACCGTGGAGAAGTCCCTGGTCCGGCCGGGGAACCTGTATGAACATGGGGTTTAACAACAGCAATCGGCACGAGTAGCCTCCATGTGATTTCGTTTCGGTCGAGAACTACCGTCCCAGGCCCAAGCTGGGTCAAGGCATAATATATATATATATATATAACATATATTATATATCGTAAAGTATCTAAGAATGTATAAGATTACACCGTAGTGTTCGCAATCTTTGCACCCTTTAGACGTCCGACGCTTCGCCTCGCTGCTTGAAAAGGTGAAATCCCGGCCGTCATTTTTTCGACGTAGAGGGTGGGTCCTCTGGGGTGAAGGGTTTAGGGTTGAGGGGTTGGGGTTTAGGGAATCTCGGATGCGGATTTTGCAGTAGCAGATGAGCCATCCACTGTCTTTTTAGATTCGGCTGGGGATTTTACACCCGGGGCGATCGGCGATCGGTGACACGTGGTCATGGTTACCTTATAGCTAAACTGTAGTAGACGCAAGTCTTCTGATATCTTTCCGGTGCATTGGGGTACCCATCCTAGTCGGCTTTGTTCGACGGAGGGGGTGGGTAGGGGTCGGAAAGTAGAAGAGGTCCCTTATTCAGAACTTTAGCCGGTGCACATACAGGTTTAGCAAGAGAATGCTGTGTTGTATCAGGTAACATCACATGACCCAATTCAAACACAATATGTAATATGGCGAACGCCTGATTGTGCCAAGCATAGCATCACAACAGCTGTGAAGCTTCCTTTCCAGGCGTTTAGGCAAGCTCCCAAAGTTAATACAGGGGCCTTAATGACAAGAATAGGGTTTTGGGACCCGTTATTTATGCTATGTAACTATAATAAGGAGCCCCCCAAAATAAAGTAGGTAATTATTTAGGCCCCCGAAGTTAAAGGGTCCGGTTTGCAGGGTGAAGGGTTCGGCTCCGATTCCTATCAAACTCTGTTTAACCCTAAACCATAAGCCCTAAACCCTAAACCTTTTAAACCCTACATCCTAAACCCTAAACCCTCCGCTGTGACCTCAGCCGTGTGTGTGTCCCTGGAGATTCAGTGCCTCCCCCGCTTTCTCGAAGCCATGAGAGCCTGCGCCAGTGTGCGGGGACTCAGCATGGGCAGGGCGTTGCAAAAAGCCTTACGGTGTCATCTAGACAAGGGTATACAAATTTCAACGTCCTTTCTGCATAAACCGTAAGCCTCACTAGCAAGATCCGTATGATCTATTTAGTCTGGAGGAACGGTGGCGGGCAGCCTAGATGTTGGGCCAAGTATCCCACTAGACGGCGGGGCTCCCAAAAAGTCTAAGCACCGCATGGCAGGATCCTTGTCATAAGGATCTCTAACTATTCCTGGACCCCGGATTTCAAGCCACCCCTCTCTCTACATTAGCAATCACACCCCAACGCGCCATCTAAAACCCGTGCAGATCCCGTGAGAAGGCTAAGCCCCTAAACCCAGACCCCTAAACCCTAAACCCAAAACATCCCAAAACCCAAAGCCCTAAATCCCAAAACTCTAAACCCGACACCCCTAAACCTGGAGCTCAGGTCCCAGAGCAGGAAGTGCGAGTCCTCTCGAATGCTAGGTTCCTGAGTAACACCATTTTTGCAATTTTCAGCTCTAGGGCCCCCGTACTAACACCTATCAGTGGCACTTTGGGCAACTATAAAATTTCCTTATGGCTCCTGTACAGGCACCTATTCGTCAAAACTGTTAAGGGCTCCAAAACTACAACGAGAAACCTAATAGTGGGAAAAAAAGGTATGCCTATTATAAAGGGGCTACTCTGGAACCTAGAATGGATCCTTGAATCAAGCTTCGCAGAATCTGTACACCGCCCTGAACCCGAGTTGTTATCACCCAGACACACCCTGATTCTTGACTTGGCTTAATCGCGAAGTCTGTCTTGCCACCATGTTTCTTTTGAGGCAAATGCTTATTGCGTCTAGAGTTTAGGGTTTAGGGCCTAGGGTACCTCGGAAAGGGCCTTCAAGAAGCCGAAATCGCCCGACCCTAGAACCTAAACCCTCAAACCAAAACCCCAAACAAAGCCCTCACCGTAGACCCTAAAACCCCCTAATCTCAGGAGCCTCAACCCTTAAAGCCTAAAGCCAAACCCTAAACCCTTAAAGCTTAAACACTCTCTATTCATATGTAGTTACACCTTACTTCATTCATTGCAAAATGTTTTTTTTTCAGGGGCCTCTTCCCATCATTCATTCCAAGATGATGTTGGGCTCCTCCACCACCCCAATTCATTGCAAAATTATTTTTTCGGTGGCCTCCCCCCCTCCACATTCATTGCAAAATTATTTTTGTGGGTTCCCCCACCATCCAAATTCATTGCATTGTTTTTTTTTTCGCTGGCCTCCCGCCCATCATTGCTACATGATGTTTTTAGGCTCGCCCACCCCACAAATTCATTGTCACTCCCATTCATTGCAAAAAGTTTTTTCGGGGCTCCGTTCTTTTGGGTTGTTAATATAAGAGAATCAAAAAGTGTTCGTTCGAATTGAAAGTGTCGAACCAAGCTGTAATAGTAAGACGTGTTATTTCTCATGTTCAGGGTTTCTGGGTGGGTGTTTTTTTGCCTAGTGAAAGCTCGACTACAAACTTCTCGATCCGGAGCTGCTGAACCCTAAACCCTAAGCCCTTGACCCTTAAACTGTAAACCCTAAACCCTAAACCCTAAACCCTAAACCCTAAAACCCTAAAACCTGTTTTTTGCTTATCCTCACAGCTCTCAGCTGTCGCCGGGAGGCCTTGGCCTTTCTCGCTGCCTCCGCCACGGTGCGGAGCGCTTGGGGCCCTTCGGGCCAAAGAGAAAAAAGGGTTTAGGGTTTTAAGTTTTGGGTGTTTAGTGTAAAGTTTTAGGGTTTAGGGTGTTCAATTTGGGGTTCCTGCAGCTGAGGTCCGTAGGCCCTAAACCCTACGCCTCAAACTTTAAAGCTCCTACGCCCTACCGAAACTACCCACGCGTTCCTATGCCAAGCCTAAGCCTTTAACCCTAACCCCATGGGGTTTAGGGTTTAGGGGTTTAGGGTTCTACCCCGTCCTACACTGTAAACACGAGGTCTTATTACTTCGAGACGGCTCTTCGCGGCTTCCTAAACTTAAACCCGATAAGCCCTAAAACCCCCGAGCCTTAAAGCGTAGTCCAACCTCAACCCCTAAAGCATTGTATTTAGCAAGTTGAGCCTCAGTTTCGGCGTCGGGACCTGGGTCTGGTCTGATCTGATAGGTTTAGGGTCTGGTCACTTAGGGTGTTTGCTTCAGGTTGCAGACCAGAATCCGAAACCCTGCGCTCTGAGAGCCGCATCTGGGGCTTTTACGCTGGTAACCACGCAGCGACCCCGATCAAGATAATACTATAGGGGCCTACATGATTATGCACCTATACCATTTTTGGGGGTTCCTTAGTATGATTATAGTCTAACCTACCCCCCAAAAAACCCTATTCTAATTATTAAGGCCCCTACATCAGCACCTCCAGGCCATGGTTTCATGTTCGAGCCCCCCGCGCGCAACGTTCAGTCGGGCCCAAAGAATGGCCACCCGGCGTGAAGTGCGGGCTCAAGGTTTGGGTTCAGAGCTTCGGGGTTAAGTATGGTTTAGGGTTTAGGGGTTTAGGGTTTATGGTTTAGGGGTTTAGGGTTTAGGGTTTAGGGTTGAGGATCGGGCAACGCCAAGGGCTGGAAGCAAGGTGTTGGGTTGAGTGCTTGGATTTCAGAGCTGTGCCCTTAGGCAGGCAGGTAGCAAAGGCTGCGCACACATCCGACGGCGACAGGCGGTTTAGGGGTTACGCGAGGTCGCAAGGAAGTGCTCAGGTGGTCAAGACCAAGACACCAGGGGTCCATAGCAACAAATGAGGGTCAAAAACAACATGCCACGGCAAGAGGCCTTGTGCTTGCCCAGGTCCACGTTGCAGTGTGTCCAATACGGAGATCATCCATATCCAAACCATGGTAACATGCACTGCTCAGTGCATCGCATAGCCATCGCATCATGCCCAAACGATGACGAAGCCCATTTTGCAGAACGTCCCATAACCAGAGCATCCACGTCTCCAATGTGAAGCTTCGTAAGAGGACACGAGGTGTTGACTCTTCAGCAGAATGGGCCCATAATCAAATTCAATTCTTCGTAGCCCTGGGAACAGCATCTTTAACAACCAACATTGCCCGGAGTCTCCATACTTGGTCTGATTCATTGAAACACAGAAAATCCTGGAAGACACATGATGCACGGTCTTTTGATGTTGCAATGCAAAAAAAGCACCGTACTGTCACTTAATTCCCAACAAAGACAATCAAAATCGAGGCGCAGCAGGACCAAGGATCAGTCTGTTTAGGGTTTGTGGCGTAGGGTCAGGGTGGGATCGGGGTGCCCTCTTCCCGAGGCTACTGTCCGCACTGCGGCAACGGTAATGGGATTTGTGGCGATGGCAACCAATGGCCGAGCGACAGCCACTGAGCCGCAAGTTGCTGTGGTCGGGTGTGTTTCATGCTTCTTTGCTGATTGTTGCCAGTGCTCTTGCGACTCCCATGACCCTCGTGCGTATCATAGACACGCTTACCATGGTTCCGTACTCATGTCACCATTCATTGGGCTTTTTACGGTGTGGAGAGATTGGAATGTCAGCTGCACCATAAAAGCGCTTGGAAGCCCCTATACAACCTGAGTAAACATCGTTACGAAACCCACTGTCGGCATCATTCCCCCCCCTATTTTCTGTGTCTCAGTCTCCTGCTCCCGGTCCATTTCTTCATCCCCATGTCCGGCAGCTGCGCCAGGCGACTATGTCAATGCCGGTACCCAACCACTAAGGACCGTCCGGCTGCAGAGGTGCAGAGGTTTCTGAGCAAGAAGTGACACTATTTGCCGTAGAATGATACTATCCACCCACTCCAAAAGCCGGTTCTAGTCATGAAGGCCCCTATGTTGGATTGGACACAGGTTCCGGAACGGGGGTTTCGAGTTCAAGTTTTCGTTCGGGCATCTGAAGGGCTCGGGGAATGGAGACATGTAGACAGATAATTTGGGCTTCCTCATCTTCCCCTTAAGCCCTAAACTAAGCCTATGATGATACTCGTTGTTAGGATCTGAGTGCTGAGCACAGCGTTTCTGCTTGAGGTTTCGAGGGAAGGGGCTCCAGAAACAGCCGAGAACGCCTTGGGCCTTGATTAACCTTAAATCATAACATGTGGTTCTCTAAACTAGGATCCGGGTCCTTGCCGTTCTATTCCGGGGGACCGAAACAGGGACCCTAATTTAGAGAACTACCCACATGAAGCCCCTCAAAGGTTAAGGTCTCTTCCTTGCTTACCTCAAATCATAGTATCAAGCCCTTGTGACTTCAGTCTTCTTGAAATACGGGGTACTGGGCTTTTCAGGGTGTGAGGCAATTTGGCAAAGACTTCTGAGAAGGCTCATACTTAAAGGATCATGGGACTTGGATAGCAGAAGCACAGTGATAAGATAGCAAGTATCATAACCCGCAGTCATTTTTCCCAATTCTAAGTCCACTCTATGCTACGTCAGGCTGTTCTAAACCCTAATTGTTACTCCACTTATGCCCCAAGTGAGGCTACCCTAAAGTGACCCAACTTACCAACCTACTTGCTAAGGCACCGATCCTTGAAGCAAGGCCAGAACGAGATTCCAGTGAACAGTGATCCCGATGACATGTTGAAACCGTTACCGGGAAACCGCTAAGCCCCGAAACCCTAAGCCCCACACCCTCAATCGCTAAACTCGAAGCCCCTAAAACCTCAATCTTAAACCCCAAGCCCTAAACCCTAAACCCGGCACACTCAAAATGACACTAAGCCCCTGACCTCAAGCCCCGTTTTCTTTGGCAGGACCTGGACTGCAGGATCGGTCGTGTCTGCTTCCATCCGCATCACTGCCCATCACAAGGGCCATTTCGAGTTCAGCGTCTGTGGCGAGGCTATAAAATCCAGAGTTTAGGGTTTAGGGTTTAGGGGTTTAGGGTTTAGGGTAATAGTCACAAACCTACAAGCCTCAAAAGGCCCCAAATTCAGAATTCTGAACCTCTCCTCAACAATGAACCGTAAACGGCCTGGAAGCCCGAACCCTAAGCTAATATAGACGCTTAAATCATTGCCTACATCATTCCTTATTACAATTATAACTGTAATTCTAGTATAGTGGGCCCCAAAACCCTATTCTAATTATTAAGCGACCACCCTCAAACCAGGCCCGCCTCTCGGGGAGGACCATATGGGTACCCGTCAAGATCATTGTCCCTTGTGGGCATCCCCTAGTTGTAATACTGCTGTTAATGTTGCATAGGGTTTAGGGTTCAGGATATACTCTAGAGTTTTTTGGGTACCCAAAATGGGACCATCTAATTATTCCGACAGCCGCCCCTTTGTCGACTTTTTTTTTGGGGCGGGTTTGGGGATGTGGGGGACCGACCACGACATGGGAGCCTCACGGGAGCCTAGGCCGGCAGCAGATCTCCTCCTCCACCGCGGATGCGCAGGGCTGCCTGGACCAGTGGGTCCTGGAGCGCGCCACCCCGGAGGAGTCCCTGAGAGGAGTCGTTTAAGGGATCTCTTCCTTTATGGGTTCTGGAAGGGTTCCTTTCAGGGGGTCCTAAAGTTGAGGGCTGTTTGGGATTCTGGGATATTGGAGTTTTGGGTAGGGTTTAGTTTCGGTTTTAGGGTTTTGGGTCTATAGGGGTTGAGGGGTTAAGGATTCAAGGTGCAAGGCTTCCGGAGTCTGCGAGATTGTCTGCTGAGAGTTAAGAGCGGTTTAGGATTTAGGGTTTAAGAACCATAAACCGTAGAGAGTGACACGAGTACAATCTGAGCATCCTCATATTCAGGATGCAATGGCTGAGTGCCTAAGCCCCAAACCTTAAATCCTGTTAGAATAAGGTCCCTGATTTTTTGAAGCTCCCTGTGCAGAGAAACGCCTGCTCTACCCTCGCGAGATAGAAACCACAAGGAGCCCCTGCAGGCCACCTCGAAGCCCAAACTCAGAAGCAACAGAGACACCTTCTATCATCCAATAAAGCCGCTTAAAGTCGATCAACAGCCATAAACTTTAAGCATACCCAAGACTTAAGCAACTATAAAACTCCAAAGTAATCCTGAGACCTCGCAGCGCCAAGACGAGGAGGCAGGGATCATCGACTGTGGGCCAAACGACCGCCGGGGAGGATGCCAGCCGATTGACCCGCGCCCTCGTCTCGAGAATGTACTACTGGTGATTAGCTAGTATAGAGGGGTGGAAGAGGGTTTTGGGGGTATAATATAGTATAAGTACAGCAAGGAATCCCCGAAAATAGGATTGGCAACCAACTAGGCCCCTATATATTCTTCATAAGGTTCCGCATCAGTTTATGCATCAACGACAGTCAAACCCCTAACTCTAACTACATCGGCCCCTGTATTTCGACTTCCCAGTCGAGAGTTTCGGGTGCAGGGTCTTCTCGGCTCTTTGGGTTTAGGGTTTAACGAGATTTTTGCCAGGGTCACGCGGTGATGGATAGCCTCGGGGCAATCCTGGGAGCGTAGCTTCGTTCGAGCCGGTGAATGCTTGATGTCGGGGAAGTGTACGACTTCGGGTCAAAGTTCTTGGGTTCAGGGATGGAGGCGGACGCAAGAGACTCTAACCCCAACACCGGTGTTAATGCAGGTGAGGGCTATCTGTGCAGGAGTCCTGGTCTGAAACACCTACTGTACGAGCTTCATCGAAATCTACAGTACACTCCACTGGTCGCTAAACGTGTTCCTTCAGCCGCTACCTGATACCATTGTAGTGTCATCTACAACTCCGAGCTTAAACCCGAGGCCCAAAACAAGCCGCGAACCTCACATCTCCCCAAGAAGCCAAACTCGCACCACACCGGCCGCTGGATTTGGTCTTCCGCATGCCGAGAAGCTTTTGGGGAAGACGAAAAACGCTCGAGAACAAAGGGACCTATACGCTTTCATATTATGGTACCCTCGAGCCCGCACCCTAAACCCAAACCTTCAACACTCTTTTGATAACCCTCAACTGCTCCGGAGTACCCCCTTCCACGTACAGATAGTATGCTGTGATTCTTTGGTGCAGGGTCCTAATTTCCTGTCATGGGTCAGGATTCAATCGAATCTCCAAGACTCTCAGGCGTCACCGGGAGCGCTGGTACCTGCCACCAGGCTCTTTCCGTTTGTGGCAAGTGTTGGGTTGTCTGAAGCTCGGGTGCTTTAAGGGCAATCATGCCATTTCTCAGCAGCCTGAACAATTACCCATACTCTGCCTCAGGGTTCCTTGCTATGAAAAGCTAGAATATTCGGGGACCACTACTAAGTCACTACTCGCCCCTTAGCTGGCACCAGGGATTCGTTGAGAGGTTTCTTGAGTGGTCTCTACAAGCTTTGTTGCGATTTCTTTGATCCGTCCCGACACAGTGTAGGTCCAGGTTTCGGAACAAGTAGAAATAACTTCTCTCTATAGTCCCTATGGCCCTGTTGCAACCCTTATAGAAAACTTCCAGAAACCCCATGAGTGTGTGCGTTGCACACTGCGCTTTGCTGTTGAAAAACTTTCAAGCAGAAACCCCTAAGCCCCCCAAAGTCCCAAACCCTAAATTACCCTAGACCCTTGGCCCGGAAGCCCCAAGATAGAAGCCTACAGAACTACCAACATTATTCCTTAGGGTTCCGTATTTCGGTTATACTGTAAAGGGGCGCAACAGCCTATTCTGATTTTTAGGGCCCCTACATCAAGCTTCGGGAACTCTCCAGTCCCTCAGCCGGAAGATCCCGGAATCTCGGGAGCCTTGCCAGGTGGCTTCTCGCCAGATAACAATGACGTGCATACCTTGTACCTGACGCTCGGTCTTCCCCTAGAGCCCCAAAGCTTTAAAGCATTTTAAAGCCCTAAAACCCTGAAGCCCTGTGCGCTGCCTGTTCGGTGGGGTTTTGTAGAGACGTGCGGTCAGGATCAGGATGCAGTTGTTCAACATATCGTAATGTAATTCACCGTCGGACCCTACTCTTCTAAGCAAGGCCCCTACAGTGAGCGCCACCTTTAACCCAGACCAAGCCTAAAGCCCCTCACACCAACTCTAGCACAACCGTGCTGCAATCATCCCTTCCCAACAAGGTGCAAAGTGCTCTAAACATTACCCTTCACAAGTGCACCTCCCAGGAAGGTGCCCGCGGGACTGTCGTGTGCGGCATGTACGCTGCAGTGGAGGCCGACATCAAGATTGAACCCCAGTTCCACTTAGAGTACTTGTAGCTGCGTTTGTATTTTATTTCTTCAGTCCCATGATCCACCAAACAGTCTCGCTACAGTATCACCCCGGGCTGTTGCCCAACTGTAGCATCACCATTCGCATAGAAGGGTGGACAAAGGGTTCTCCGTGACTCATAAGCTCAGGACCCCTGCATGAAGCCTGAGTCTTTCGGGCGTAGTACAAGACACAAGTTGTAACGCTTACTCGAGTCTGAAAGAACCTTCGACCTACATTGTCGTGATGCAGATCTTTGCTTCGTTTCTCGTGTAACCGGGTGCCTCATGCAAGATCTGGTCATGCATATGTATATGTATATGTATATGTATGTATGTGTGTGCATATATATATATATATATGTGCGTACATCCACACACTGTTTTACGTGTTACTCCCGACAGCTTTAGCTTCCGCGGTTCTCGCTGTCAGCCAAATGCAGGAGCATGCTGGCATTCCGCGCCAGTTATATGTGTATTTGCATGCGATGGGCGCCGCATATCTGTGGTTGACATCTGATGTTGCGTGCAAGGTCTCTCGATATTCCGACAACTTCAAGCAACTATCAAATCGATCGCCAATTCCCACGCGAACGGAGTCAGAACTCAACAAGCCCGTGACATCGCCGTTAGAGGAAAAAGGCGACATGAAGCACACCAAGGTGCAGGCAGAACGATTGCCAGCCTGAACAGCTATTTCGATACAGGGGGCAGACACCTGTTCCTCACAGGTGGTGGTCGGCCAACAGCTGCATTCCCGGGCCTGACTATGGGTGCTACAAGCAGGCCTGCGATGGTGTCGGCTATTGATCAATTGTCACTTGCCAGTCCTTGAAGCAGTCCTTCTGTTCTGCTTTTGCAATCGTAGTTCTTATGGCTGTCTTTCGTGTGCTGCTGTTCCAATCGTGGTTCGTTGATGGAGAGTTCAATCAACGGATTGCCAGTATGAACAGTAAATTATGAGAATTCATTTCGATATTGTTGTGTTGGCTATGAAATATCACACATGCTGTGGAAGGTATTTGGATTGCTGTTGCCATGATGTTGATTTGCGTCTCATGTCAGCTTTCCGCCGTCATCAATCTAAACCCTAAGCCGTCCCAGTCCCAGGACCTTAATCCTTAAGCCCTAAAGCCCTGAACCCCAACAGCCAAAACCCGCAAGTCTGAAACGGCCCGGGAGGAACTTGATGCAGGAGGTTACAATTCGCCAGATTGGGGTCTTGGCACCTTGGGCAACCGAACGCTTACAAGATTCCACAGCAAGTGTGTACCCTAACAAGGGGATACCTTTATTGCAATGCTTCCGCAAATAGGTTGCCCTGCTTAATCTGACAGGCTTTGTCTGTGTCTGAGTTTCTTGGGCTCAGGACTGCTTGAGGTGCAGCTTTTCAGTATTTGAGTTTGGGGCGACCGGAACCGTAAGTTCGTGAAGCCTGAACAAGGACCCTGCATCCATGTTTAATCTACCAGGAACCCCAAACAAGCACCCAAACAAAAGCTTTTGTGCGGGATACCCGACCTTATTGGCTTACTTAAACAGGGATTATTGAATATCCCAACCGAATGGTGTTTGTTTCGTTGCTCTTCTGGCTATAACTAAGCTCCTATGACCTATGATCTCAAACGAGGAGGTTTCTTCCACCTTAAAGTAGGATCTCGGGGGCTTTGTGGCCATAGATATATCGGAGAACGCAGGATTCCGAAACCCTTCAAATGTCTCAACTCTCCATCCTGCATTCCTTGTGCTGCCAGGGCTTTCATGATAAAATCTGCACGGTTCAAACCTGATTGCACCCTAAAGCATCCCTTAATCATTATGCGTAGTACACTGTATATATATATATATATATGACACAGACACACATACACACACACACACTCTCACTCTTTCTCCGTATGTATATTTAGCTGTACAATAGAACAGTATAGAATAGAATGTAATATAGCAGCATATTATGATAAAACGCAACAGAACATAATACAACATAGTATGATGTGTACCATACGACAACATAACACGATAATATGATATAACATGATACAGTATGATATAATAAAATATCGTATACTATACTATACTGTACTGGTATATTATATACTTTGATGAACTAATACTATGCTACATGATATGATGTAATATGAATCTCCCTCTATGTATGTATCTATCTATCTATCTGTCTATCTATCTATGTATCTATCTAACTATCTATCTATCTGTCTATCTATTTACCTATCTATCTATCTATCTATCTATCTATCTATCTATCTACATATATATATATATACATATGTAGCGCTCTCTATGTATATGAGCTTATGTGTGTATACATATATATATATATGTATATATATGTATGTATGTATATATGTATGTATGTATGTATGTATGTATGTATGTATGTATGTGTGTACGCATGCATGTGTATATATATATATATATACACACGATTATTTAACATACGCCTATGGGCTGTC